GCTAATTGGGGACACACACAAAAAAAGAAATTATGAATGTACGAATGAATAAGTATATATTAAAAAGTTAGTAAGTAAATATCAAAATATTAATAAGTAAATATGAAAGTCAGGTCAGGATAAACATAAGGGACAGTTTTCACAATTATCCCCAAGCAAAGATGCTGTATTCAGCGTGTCTCAGATTCTTGTAAATAAACTCGATCATTGCATTAAAAGATTGAGCAAAATGAATAGAAACTATAAAACTTAAGATAATATATAACTTCATCACAGTCACCCGTTTATGAAATGTAAGCCAGATGGATGTTTGATTCAACGAAATTGTGCATCAGTGAGTTAAAGACCACGCCCAAAATGGCATGACGGGAACTCTTGGTGAACTCATTTTACTTAAAGACGATCCGTTTTGATATTTTACTTAATCAGCTTGTTTACCAACACACATTTTCTCAACACACTACATCCATTCTCATTCACTTATAGCTACGTAAATAGATTGATACTTTCCCAGAAAAAACAAGAGAAGGCCCCGCCTTTTGAAACATTAACACTGCTGCCGCCATGAATAGTGTTCGCGGGCTCAAAATACAGTGCGTTGACGTCACATGGAGGTCTAGAATAGCTCACAATCCTCTATATAAAATTCTGTGCCGATACGCAAGGGCGAGCATTGAATCAAAACCTTCTACACTTCTAAAATCGTCATCTGAGGGAGACTATAGTTTGAAGAAGAAATAATCTTGGATCTAAGATTCTTACTGGGGCGTTTAAGCGAAAAGGTAAGGTTACTTTGCTTCTTTGACTGGTGTTGTTTACAACATTCATGAAACTTGATTCTCGCATGAATGTACCCGTTGAATTCATGGCTTCTTTATGTTATGTTTTCGAGATCTTTTATATCAATGTGATAAGTCATANCGTGACTTCTACACGTTTGCTTCAACAGAATTCAAAACAGCTGTGTTGATAGATGCGATGGCTTGTGTTTTCATAGCTTTTGTTCCAATTTTCTTTATAGTTGTTATTGCAATTGAGTCTGCGGTCAAATATTCTTTTGTTTAAACTAAGACGTGCAAACGGAGCGTTAAGTTTCGATACAAAGCAGAATTGACCCTTTCGCCTCGTTTGTATGTCAAACCACTGATAACTTCAATAACAGCTACAGTGTTAAAGTTATTTTAATAATTATTAGTAGGAAATAAAAACTCTATAACGTTAACACGATTTTCAATTTTTCTCGCTTTTTTGCCTATGTAGTCGAGTCTTCTTCCGGATAAATTTAGGTTTGGAAACACCAACTAAACGCCCCGAGAGCAGATTTTTATAATGGCACAGGATATCAACCTAGTTCCCAGAGTCTCTCGGAGGCGCAAAGAAGAGAGACCCTGGGAACGAGGTTGACATCGAACTTGCTCCCGGGCCCCTCGCCTAGCTTGGGAGCAAGTTCTCTCCACCTACTCTAAAGAATGGCAAGTGACATTGCACGCAGAATACTCCTTGCCACGCTAATATATTTTGAGAAATCTTGGAAGAAGGTTTGCCCAAACCACAATCAATGCCACCCACCAAAAATAAGGAACTTTTTATTTTTGACAGGTTTTTGACAGCTTGATTTAAACTTTTTTAACAGGTCATCATGGGCAACGATCCGTCGAAAAAGGGAAACAAGGACAAAACAGCGCCTCCTAAGATAATACACAGAGGAAGGAACGACGCAAAACACATTCGCTTGCTTGTTGTACACGAAGAGTCAGACCCGCCGGTAGATGTTATAGATCATTTCTGTGATGCTGTGAATGCTTTTAAGCCTCAAGGAAGCTTAGAAATCAAACAGCGCGATGTAAAAGTGTGGCAATTGGCCGGCTCGAAATCTCCATCAGAATCTCGCCTAACGGAAGTGAATCAATGGATGTCAGAATGGTTGAACCAAAATGGTGTTGTTCTCATATGTTTGCTGTCGAGTCAGGAAGTTCAGCCTTTCGCAGACGACATTGACTTGCAGAGCGGAAAAATTGTGCCGTTCTCGTTTGGTAAAGCTCCTGCAAACTGGAAGGAATGTGTTTCTCTGAATATTGACCTCAAAGCTGTAGAAAGCCCTAAAGATTTTGAAGGTCCGTTAGAAGAACTTGTTGCCAGTGTGAAAGCGGAGTAAATATTGAAAAGAAACAAGCTTATTTTCTCTGGAAAGCAAACTTTTAATGAAATGAAGTGTCAACGAACATGTAAAGTAAATGAAACCACGATTAAGGTAACTGATAGAGGAACACTGTAACTGGTTCGATTTTCGACCTTGTCAAAGCCGGTGTCATTGATGTGTAATCAGTTATTATACGTCAAAAAGATCTTATTTGACTAAAAATTTTGTATCCAATAATATTCCCGTTTTTATATTTTTATTATCTAAACACGAATACTGGAAAATACACCACTATTAAAATTTATGCGAAATCACATCCGGGACTCGAGTGGTGTATTTTCCATATCCTCATTATAGTGAAGATATCGATGACTAATTTAAAATATCATGTTTGACCCTTAACGGCTGTATATAAGATCGAAATATCTTCAGATCTTTTTCGGAGACCTTCTGCAATCCTCGGTTATCTCCGTCTTCGGAAACCTCCGGACATTTTCGGAAAATGAGCGTTGACTACGATTAATACGTGACATTATGCTGTTGGCGATTGCGTTACGATTTAAACCGTCTGAAGACAATGTCCCGGGATCGGGAAGGGACTACCATATGAAAAGGCTGGGAATGATGATCGGAAAAATTGAATTAAATCCCTAGAGGAGACCAATCTGAGCGTGGTTCGAACTTTATTTGACGCCTAAAAGATACCA